AACACATGATAAAACGTTGCAAAATGCATTTTTTGGCGTAGTGTATTGGAACTTGCTTAAAGAAGATATTAGTCTTCAAGATCTCTATTATTGAACAAAATAAGCCATGCAACCCATTTCCAACAAATGACAAGTATTCATGGCCTATAGTTTTAGGAATACATACTTGAATGTTGTCATTGCAAAGCAAAAAGAAATTGGGTACATTTAAGGGGTTCAAACAATACTTTCTTCTTTATAATATTCAACTGCAACATGATATCTTGATAGTTGCTCATCAGTCATCCCTAATATGAAATCAAAGTGATGAACATTCAACATTACAAAATCTGCTAATAACAATTTCTCATCCACCATTATTCGGAACCTCCCTACATACCATTTGAATTCATTACATCTTCGGAGGCTGTTAACGTATTAAATTGTGCATTCATTTATGGAAGTAGTTGGCTACACAATTCCTTCCATTTAAAGTGTACTTAATATCACTCAAATCATATTAAGGAAGATTTTGAATCATTAGTTCAGAAGTATTGAGATTTGATAACGTGGAGATGAATGTCAACATTGTTTGGTTGTATGCTACATAATGCAAAATTGAACACTATAATTGGAAATTTTTTATGACGTAATTTTACTCTTTCATATTGTCTAGTATTATTTACAAATAACAGAAATGCTCTCATGTCCACAGTGAGAAATTTTATCTACCCACTTAGAGAGAACTCTACTTACGGTTCTCATAATTGTTCTCCTACCCACAACGGGCAAGATAAGACTGTCCACTTGTAGATATAGCAAGAGAATATTACACATCTGCAAGTGGACAATCTTATCTTGCCCCCTATGGATAGGAGAACAATTTCGATAGAAAGAATACTTTTTGTATCCATTTTCAATCGATGCATGCTCAACTCATAAACACTTAACGAAGTTATCTCTTTTTCCATTTTCATAAGAGTTTTCAAGTGTTGGCACTACTGTTGAGATTCCAATAAAGGATAATTTTTTTAAGAAAACATATATGATTTGTCAGTACCAGTGTTTTAAAAAGCGTGGAGGCAAAACTTCTAGCTTTACAAGCTTAAGCGAGAATAGACGATGCTTAGGCGTAAGACAATGTTTTCTTGTTTTTAGTATTATTTTATATTTTTAATCATTTTTAAAATTATTTAATAATTAAAATAATACATATGAAACATCTAACATTATAAAATACTATATTTACTTAATAATTCCTTTCATTAGTTAATTATACAATTTTCAAGTTTTCGAAATGCAAAAATTAGAATATTTTTCATAGTTTCAATTTTCAACTAGACAAGTCGTATTTAATAAATTTATAGAAACTTCATACATGCATTTGGAGTTTGCAACAAAATAACAAATCTCAAGATTATAATTACATAAGGTAGATAGCATCATATGTTAAATTTTATTTAACTATTTAAATGAAGTCATTTATATTAAAGTCAAATGAAAAGTTTTTTTTTTTAAAAAAATAATAATCTAAAGTCAAATAAAAGACTTGTTTTCAAAAGGGGAAAAAAATAAAGTGAGCGCCTAGGGAAGATAAAAGAGAGGAAGAACAAAATTCAACCGTTTAGGAATTGGAAAAAAGTGTCTAAGTTCAAAACGAGGCGTTTTACATGAGTTTCAAGTCTAGGCGGTGCCTAGGTGCCGCTAAGACGAGCTTTTTAGAACATTGATCAATACAACGAGGACAATGCTAACCCCATGTTTCAAGCCAAGTACATGATAATGATATACCAATCTAATAGAGATTTCTTGAAAAAATCAAAATATAGTTGTAACACAGTTCAATCTTATTTGTATACACACTGCCTCTTAAAGAAAAATGAGAAACTTAAGGCTAAAAATTGGGGTTGATGGGACCTAGGAAAACACGTGGGAATGGTCTATTGAATTTACCATGTTACCTTCC